CGTCCTTGTGTGCCTGAGCCAGAGCCCGAACCGGAGCCTGAGCTGAAGTCAGGGCCAGGGAGTTCCTCATCACACTCATCATCAGACTCATCAGATTCAGCAGATTCACATTCATGTCATTTGATGACTTCCATCACCGACGACAGCGACGACAGTAGCAACAGTGGAGCTGGGTCTTCTACAGACATTAGGCCGAGTCCACGGCCACTGCCACTGCCTGCTACTGGTTATGGTGTTCCACGCACACCGGATGGAAGATGGCGGCACGAGAGCGTGGATGTGCTTTATGGTGGTGTGACACCGACAAATGCATTTGCACAAGGGCGTGTGGTATTGGCGGTTGATGACATCGATGATGACATCATTGTGGACTCCAATGTGGGGGACTTGATTCCACAAACACCACCACGACTTGTGGCTGGACCGATGACACCACAAGCTTTGTTGAATCCACCTCACAGTGAACCTGATGCTTATGCTGTACTTCATGGTGCTGCTACACCTCCAGGTCTTGGGGTTGTTCCAGGTACCCCACCGGGAACTCCACCACAAACTCCTCCAGAGGGCACTGCACGTTTGCGATCATGATCAAGGAGCCGCCGCTGACAAGTAGTCAGATGAAATCAATCGTTGTCATTTAAGTTTTGTGCTACATCCAAAATGGATGGTGGCTTCGGAATAGACGGAATTGGCATCATGGCTAACAAGATTGCAAGAACATGCACGAACAATTTACACTACTGAACAATATGAACAATATCAGCAATGTAAAGCAGTGATGCCTTTGCTGATAATGCAAAAGTAGGAGCATGCCTGCACGGGCGCTTTGTGTGAGACAAACAAATGACTGTGTGATAGAGGTGCAAATGATAATCACTGTTTGCATACACATTGTCACATTGACCAATAGCATGAAAACAAACAATTACAAACAAAGATAAGATATCGGTACAACGGTGAAAGCAGTGAAAGCTAATCAATGTACACACATACACAATCATAGAAACACACATATATAACCTGCCAATTTACCCACCTACCCACTCACCCATTCACCTAACCACCTATCTACCTATCACCCATATATACATGTACATACACACATACATACATACGTACATACATACATACGTACGTACGTACGTACATACATACATTCACACAAACATACAAACATACTTATCTATCTACCTACCTACCCACCTACCTAAATACCTATCTAAATACCTACCTACCTACCTATCTACCTACAATGGAAAGAAACTAAAACATTAATGGAACAATACACGAGCGATATAATATATATATATATAACAACACGATCCGCTAACAACAAGAATATAACAAAATATATTCATTCATGATTTGAATAAATAAGAGCTCACTAATTATAATAAACCCTAGATCATCATGTGAATATTGTCTAGGGCAGGATGTTTGCGATGCCCTAGGGTCAGCTAGTAGAGGGCAGGCCCAGGGTAGCAGGTCTAGGGCAGGGATCACCAGGGGCAGGGTGCCCTAGGGGCAGGGTGCCCTAGGGGCAGGGTGCTTTAGAGTTAGCTAGTCCAAGGGCAGGGCGCCCTAGGGGCAGGGTGCCCTAGGGCAGGGTACCCTAGGGTGGGTCAGCTAGTGCAAAGGGCAGGCAGCCCTAGGGCAGGCCGCCCTAGGGGCAGGACGCCCTAGGGGCAGGACGCCCTAGGGCAGGGTGCCCTAGGGGCAGGGCGCCCTAGGTCAGGGTGCCCTAGGGCAGGGTGCCCTAGGGCAGGGTGCCCTAGGGCAGGGCGCCCTAGGGCTGGGCGCCCTAGGGGCAGGGCGCCCTAGTGGCAAGGCGCCCCTAGGGGCAGGGCGCCCTAGGGCACGGCGCCCTAGGGGCAGGGCGCCCTAGGGCAGGGTGCCCTAGGTGCAAGGCAGGTCTAGGGCAAGCTGCCCTAGGGCAGGCTGCCCTAGGGCACGGTGCCCTAGGTGCAAGGCAGGTCTAGGGCAGGCTGCCCTAGGGTAGCACAGGTCTATGGGGTTCCCTAGGTCAGATGAGCTAGTGATAGGAAGCCTTCACCTAGGCTAAGGGCAGGCCACCCTAATGTCACATAAGCTAAGCGCAAGCAAGCCGCTATGTGGTTGTATATTTACATTAAGTTAAGGTAAGGACAAAGTCATCCAGCTAGGTTACTCTAAACATTTGGAAGACACCCTTGGATCTAAATAAATATTGAAGTCACACAATAATAACAAACACAATTTAGAAACATCATATTTGTAGGCAAATACATGTCGAAACATACAACATATGAAAAGACATATTGTGTAAAAAGAAACAATACATATACATCACATGCACATCTGAGTTAATCGATTTCTATTTTCGAGTGTATCTAGTGTTTTTAGCCGCTATCCGTTCTGAGGTGCATTAGCATGAACATCAAGATGATGATGTGGACAATACAGGTGGAGCGGGTGGAGCGTGTTGTTTCAACGACACTAAGGAGCTAGATGCACAGAGATGTAAATGTGTTCATTTGATGTGTGGTGACAATCGTGACACAACATTTGATACCTATGTTCAGTTGAGTGGAAAGCTCAAGAAGGCCAGAATGCATTGAAATACATCATTGCTAAGAGTGCGTCCACATTATGATCACATGCAATCCCATCACATTGTTTGTGTTTTGTTTTGATTACATGCTTCTCGTGGTGACACCACACTTTTTATATTGGTTGGGCACATGGCCATATTGAATAAGCCTGAAGCCATGGTCTTCCGCGACACCCAGATGACGACTATGTTGGTTTGCAAGTGGGATGCACCAGAGCTACGTGATCCACTGCAAGCATATCCAGCTTTCAACGATTCTTCATCTTCAGGACAGGACTTCACTGCCATATGTGTAGTCGGTATAGTATTTATTGTAAACTACAATTGATTGGTGATTGATTATTGTCTATTTGTAAATGTGTTAACTGTTCACTATGACTGTGACTGTTAAATGTGTAAACAATTAACGATATGTTCAACCAATTCCGATACTACTGACAACAATCAACTTATATGTCAGGACTGCCGCACCTCCCAAGAAGGTCACATCAGCTGATGCTCCCACCATTGCACTTGCAGAGGCGACAGTTGCAGGACGTGCAGAGGTGTTTGGAACCTGCAAAGTTATCCAAACACTTTGTGTGTATGACTCAAAGACTTCCACTTCGCATGTGACTCTTGTGAACACAAAATACAAGCAAACGTTCACACTAGAACAGATCCGAGAGCTTTGCCAAGTGAAAGGTTCGGGAGTCAAGTCAAATCTGTATTGCTCAGTGTTGACACATGTGACTTTCACAAAGCGCAGCACTGTGGAAATTCGCCATAGATTTGGATGGGGGGGTAGCACAAGTTCCTGTACTACAAGCAAAGTCCATCAACCATTGGATTTCCAAGCGACCTCTTGACAATGGTGGTGGTGATGATGGTGATGAAAAGCGAACAAAGGTTTCTAATGAGGCTGATGAGTCTGATGATCACGCGAACCAACCTTCTGCAAGCCAGAGTTCCATGGACCAACTGGGGTGACTCAGCACAGTACACAAAGCAGCTTTGATATTCAATATATAGTATATATACTTTACTTTACTAATATACTACTATACTACACATATACAAGTGTGACAGTCCAATGTCAAATATGTTTTCTTATATTATATTTAATTCTATTCTTTTGTCATTTAACTTTCAACCACTAGCGGTTAGACTCTAACGGTCAACATGTTATGTTAAGACTTCAGACATATGTCCGAAATGCCCTAGGTCAGTGCATACCAAAGAAACGGCCGCCTCAATGGAGTCTGTGGATGTGTGCAAAACACAACCTTTGGCTTCAGACGAACCCACCACCATCACCAACAGCTCGGCAGCCACTGTCCCAGGTCCTGAACCAAATCCTGTGTCACAGTCACAGGCACAGGAATCCAGGGTTGAAGATGTTGAAGACCCTGAGCCTGAGAGTCAGCCTGAGAGTCAGCCTGAGAGTCAGCAGGGTCAGAAGCAAGAGGAGGACCAAAACATAGACATTCAAAAGGATGTTCAGAGAGAGTCTGAGCCGGAGATTTGTGAAGATTGCGTTGATGAGATTGATGAGAACATGCACGCCCAGACCATCACCATGTGTGTGGAAGAATTTTGTTGACAAATTCAATATATGTTGTTGTGGATGTTTGAGTTTGTCAACTGAACTTCAACTGTACAATATTGTTTTGGAAAACATATCAATATCACAGAGCAGTCGCTGTCATTGTATATATTTATATAGAAGTTTTTGTTTTGTAAATCTCAGGAACAGGATGCAACTGCCGACATCATCAGCAAGCCTGGTGAACTTGTTGAACATGGGCCTGTTGATGATAACCATTGCCATCAACCTCCTGAGGTGAATGAGCCTGGGCAGCCTGAACCTTTGTGTTGTGCAGGCAGAGAAGGAGGCGAAGTTGCGTCTGATGTTCCAGTTGCTCAAGAGGCAATACTACTCAACAACAATGATGGTGCTGCACATGAGAGGCAGAGCGGTGATAGCAACTCCATCACAAGTGGCACGCGTGTAGTGAACAACTTGCAGGATGCACACAGAAACTTATATTGACAATGTGCTATGTTTATTTTGTGTGTTGCTTTTAAATGGTTTCAAGAGTTTGTCGGATATCACATGATACAAATACATATATATCAATAGCACTACTTAAGCATATACCCCGTTCGCATGCCACTGATTTGGTTCAATCTCCAAAGAAACAACTAATATAAACAATATGTCACATATCTCCTTTGATACGGCCAAGCATTGCGCTGCCGAGGATGGCCATTGCTTCTTTGCGATACATATGCAACGTCGGAGCTTCACGTTGACAATCCAAACAAGGCTTTGCTGTCGGATGTGGACACAAACACAATTGATCGCCAAGCTGCTTTGCTTGGAATGAATGTTGATGATCTAGCCTCTTTGCAAGCTCTGGCACACAGAATGTCAATGACATCAATCAGCACGGCCTACTCTGGAATAGATTCACCGGGCACAGCTATCTTGCAAATTGTTGGGCGCTTAACCAAACACTATGGCTTACAGGTGAACCATCCGCACCATTTGTTTGCAGTTGAGTGGGAACGATCCTGTCAGCATGAACTTTGTGTGCATCCAGGGAGTGCTGATTGTATATTTGGTGACATCGCAGATTTTCTGCATCCGCTTGTGAGGAGTCAGTTGCCTGAGCTACAGAAGAACAACCAACTTACATCTGTTCTCATGCCAGTTGTTCGTGATACACCCACCAAGGCTATCCTCATGATCTTTGGGTTTGATCAGTCAGACTTTAGACTTTGAATAATGTATGTTGTGTTGTGTATGCTGTTACTGTTGTATTATGAACCAAATCATCAGGGGAACTATGACTAAATATTTAATCAATAACAAAACTAGAAGACAAAACAGTTTGAGACAATGTGACATTGTGACATCAGTCATGTCGGTCGGTCATGATGTAAGGGACGCTTGGTGCGTGAAGCATGGCAAGACTTGCTCTGTCCAAGACAAGATCGCTGATGTCCACGTGGCCGGAACGACTTGTTGCGCTTTCTCTGCTATAGGCGACGGACAGGGCGAATCAGCCATGTCACACGCACACTTTTTAGTGTGGTGCGGGCAAAGAGCTGTACTCCAAGAGCCGATTATAATACAGGAGAATGTGGTGGCTTTTCCTCGCGAGGCATTGATGCTCATGCTGCCAATGTATGAATGGGTGTTTGGGGTTCTGGACCCAGTCCAGCTTGGATGGCCTATCCGACGGGAACGTCAATTTATGATGCGCCTTACCTTTATTACATATGACATATGCGTCCTATGTCATATAACGTCGTATGCGTAGTACAGATGGTGTTCTGAATGATCATTAATTCTGAAGTTTGAGTCATTATAGAAAGATCATATGTTTTGTTTAGTGTTCAATGTGTTACAGTGCTCCAGTCTTTACAGTTTAACGTGCTATTGCTGTGGAGTTGTTTGTGTGAACTAAGTGGCCGGCACAAGTGCAAGACCTTGGGATATCGCACGCTCCTTTCATCCTTCAGCTCACTGTTCTCGCGGACACTGGGCCCAAATGGAGATTGGTCAATGTTCTTTTGAGAAGTTTGGCTGCAATGATGTAGTGGCGGCAGTGGCTGTGTGTGTGATTGTTTGTTAGCATGTACATGTTGGTTTCGCGACTGGTACATGTCTTCATCAGATGTGTGATGATGATGTTCAATAAAGCACTGAAGCACAATATTGGCACAACAACATTCATCTTCGTGCAACACCATGATTGCTTTTAAGTTTGGCACTGGTGATATATGAGAGTGGAGTGGAGTCTTCAGTTGGGTTGAGTTACACTGTGAGTTACAATGTTTTATCTCGAATCCATTGTGTTGACTCACTCACTCCCACACTGAGGTGTTTCTCTTGGATTCAGTGCAAATCAAATCAAGATGTGAACACACATGTGCACTTGTACTAAGCTCTCTAATCTTAGGACCGATGAAACAAAGCTTCAGGAAGAGCTAGATTGGGCCTGTGGCCGTCCGTGCAGCTTGTGGAAACGAACACACGGTGATCTGAAACCTTCATTGGCGGCTGATGATGATTCCTCCTTCGAGGATACTTTGACAAAGACAGAATACGATTTTCTGAAAGCCTACGAGATGGCAACACCACAAGGAATCTACAGCCTGAACCAGAACCCTGACGTCACCAATATGTGCTCGAATTCCAAGGCCTGTAATGTTGTCTAATGTCATATGTTGAATGTCTAATGATGAACTATTTTATGTTGACTATATGTCATATGTCAAATGTATACTGGTAGACTGGGGGACTCCTAGAGTGCAGTAGACTCTGGTGAATGACATTCTGAGTATGCATTTCTGTTTCAGGGTCCCAAGTCTTCACGTCCTGTTTGCTTACCGGAACAAATCTAACGTCACTACACTCTTACTCTTCAAGATATGTAGTGCGTCTCTGATGTGTTGATGTGTTGGTTGTTATTTCAACTTTGTTTGATCCTTAGCGATATGATCACGGGAGGTGATGCCCACCTTGGTGTCATCAGCATGCATTTGGTATTCTTCGCAGCATCGCCGCTGGTTGACTCCAGATGAAGCATTGGTTCTACAAGGGTTCCCTGTCAGGATCACACATTCGCTTGGTGAAGCCGCTTGTAGTTTTGCGGTCAGACACGAATATGATGTTGCTGACAGCGAAGGACGACAGAGCTTACGTGACCTCCATGGAGATTCAGCCTCAACAGCTTTGGGCATTCGTCCAACGCGGCCACACATCTTCAAAATGGCTGGCAACAGCATGCACACCAATGTGTCGGGAGTTGTTGTCCTGTTCGCGCTCACTCAGATTCGGATTGATGGCGCGTTGTTGAAGATGCTGCAGCAACACACGATGATTAAGCGAAGACGGCTACAGATCAAGCAAGGCCTATAGTGTTTCATTTGTTTGTTCTAGTTATAGTTCTAGTGAAGAAGTTCTAGTGTTTGCAGAGGTGAGCCTGACTGATGTCTAATTATCAATGGACTACTTTTACATCTACATCAATCCTAATCTACACGGCTACACGTGTATCAGTATCACACCGCAGAAGTTCCGCCGCAGAAGTAGTTGTGTATTGTTAAGACTTATATTTTACTATATACTTACTATTTACCGCAAAAGGTGAGTGTATATTTAGATAATCTTACATATTCCTGTTGAGAGGTTTGTCCAGACAGGCTCAGGCTCAGGGAAGGCAGCACTGATCTGCGCATTTTGTGGAGCGTGCAACTGACACGTGAACAGTCGGAACCTAGGACATGGTTGCGGGGCAAAAAGACAACACAATGCGGCTATAGTCTCAAACGATTTAGTGTGTCAGAACCTACAAGTGTTTTAGTATGTTACGGTATGTTCTGAAGTGGACAGGCGACAGGCCACTGGATAGGTGGATTATCTACGTGTTGTTATCACACTACAAATTGTAAGATTACGGCAAATGAATATTGTTTCACTTGATGTTTGATGCTCGTGTCGACACGTCTCGTCTCGTGTTATTACGACCGTTGATCACTTGCGTGTTGCATCGAGTTACCATATTGCTAATGTTGTAAGGCTTTCAACTTGCCAGAGTCAGAGTTTAGGTTCGCTTACGATTTGGATTGAACTCACTTTGAGTTGAACAATATACTTGTGCCTTTGCCGCTTGCCGTAGCTTCCAGCTTTCCAGTGTTCGACTTGAGCCTTGAGCACAACGAAAGCACTCCTTCAGACGATCCTGTGCAACGTGCATGATGGTTGCTTCTGCTTCTGCACCTCCAGAGGAAGCCACTGATGTCACTGGTTGTCCTGCGACTACTACTACGAGTGGTGGCAGTGGCGGCAATGGCGGCAATGGCAATGGACATGTGCTTGACGTGAAGCCAGCTTATCAGTACCAGAAAGATGCCACTCTTTCACAGATCTTTGGTGGGCATGTAACTCCTGGACGAGAACTTCTGGACGTTATCATGAAAACATACAAGGCAGAGTGAACGGTTTGTAAGAAATTGTTTTGGGACTGTCTGGGGTTAGCTCAGTGTTGGTTTGTTGTTGCTGTTGGTTGACAACTGTTTGACAGCTACAACTTGCTCAGTGCCAACCATACCAGTTTGACTCAGTTTGACATAACAACATTTGTTTAAACCAGGTCTCCGGCCAGGTCTCTCTCAAACCAAGGAAATGATTTCACATCAATCTAAACTCGAGACTCGAGACTCGAAGCATATCAAACAAAACACACGGACACACGGTCGGATGCATCGGCGTTTCAGGAACATATCATATCACACTCCCTCCTAACTACACTCAAAAGAATCATATCATAGAATCAATTCCACTAAACAAAACATTGGTATTGACTTTGTTATTTTCAGGGTGTCACAGTCTGTGACATGTGAAGTAAAGGTAGATATGATGACAACGCCAAATCGGATTTGGATAAGATAATGACAGCTTACTGTTTACAGTTCAGACTGTGAATTATGTTCCATGCGGCCATGCGTGTTGATGTCACATGTCCATACTACTTTCATATGTTTTTCTTGTTCCTGTATTCGATTCCTTTCTGTCATTTCCGCTTCTGTCCCATTTCATTCCTGCCTATATTGGCCAAGCTCATATGTCTGTAGGTGCCTTCGAACAAGACGCTACCTTGGTATCAGGGAGCTCAACGCACAATAGCTCGCCATCCTCTCAACAGTCGTCGGCAGCAGACTGTGCTGACTGCCTACACAAAATCGGTACAACAAAAAGGAATAGTACGAGGAGTGCGGGGAGAGTGCTGGCTACAGGCACCCAACACGGAGGAAGGAGAGATGAGCTATTTGGCATTGACATTTGCCACGCTGTGGCTCAGACTCGCTTAGGAAAGAAAAGCTTCTATTCTTTTGAGTTTTCGAGGATGAGGATGCACGCTTTGTGTCATCTGTAGACTATGTCAACTAGTTCATTGTGTTTGTGACTTGCTAGCGCTATGACTTATGAAAACCCAGACGTATAGTTTTCTATTTCCCAGACCAAGCTGCTTCGGAACGTCATTGGATAGATCATCATTGCACTGCCAGTTGTGCGCATGCACATAGGTCCTGGGCTGTGGAAACATTGTTTTGGCACTGTTTGGACTGTTGGCCGTTGGCTAAGGTCAGAAGCCTTTTATCAGGCAAATGAAGCACCCGATCGCGAAGACTATCCGAACTTGCTGACCACTGCCAAGTACGGCTTGGACGTGCTCATTTTTGACCACCGAACACCCCAGTCAGTTCTGCAGTTCTTGTGCCTTTGCTATGTGTTCCGATCCGACCCAAATTTAATATATCGATCGATTCTGATTCTGCCGGGGAGTTGGAGAGTTGAAGAGTACATACAATGTATACATAATAACTGCACAACAAAACAATACATCAAAACTAGCAGCCAATCCAAGACAACTGTGAATGTGACAACCAATAAGACTCCAAGACATTGCCACACAAGACAATGTTAGTCTAGGAAGTGTTCATTGGTCCTGGAGTCCTGGTTCACTTTAACAAAAGCTATCCCATGGACTCCCATGTACATAATATGGGAATAGGTCGAGTTTGACTGGCGACTCGCGACATAAATTATTTCACACAATGTTTTGTCTATTTGCTTGAGTCGGTGTCACTGGGCCGCTGGGCCTTCCAAGGATCACATACCACAATGCGTTTCATCAAGGAGCGGAGACCTCCTTTATGGAGATGATCATGAAGGTACCAGAGGCGAGCTGCAGAACATAGACTCCAGTCCTCGGCTGTCGGCTGTTTAACAGAGTTGGAATTGAAATAAACAAAGAGCTTGGACTTTGATAGCGTTGGTGCACCTAGTGTACATCTCCACACACGCATACGACATATCTGACATACCAGTCTCTTCCTTTCTATTCCCCGGCCCGTGCCCTCATACTGTAAAAGTGCCTCTAATATCGTTTAACTTCCGCCAACCGACAACCATATACACACATAATCTGTTGAGGTGGAGAAGGCGTGGGCGAACTACAAAGTCGCAAACGGAATCTCCTCGCGACAGAGTGACTACGAATCCAAATATCGCGAGATGTTGACAAGTCAGTTTCCGGCCACTTGGACTTCCTTCAGGCATTTCGAGGCGACCAGACAGGTATACAATGTGCTGAGCAAGCTCAACTGCTTGGTTGAACTGAAGACATTCATCTCGGACCATTGTGACTTCTTGCACAACGAGCTGACTCATGATACAGTAGTCTTCGTGATGAAAGAAGTCTTGACAGCCCTTCCGACCGTCTTCAACATCATGGCAGATTCTGAAAAGCAAGCACTCTGCCTTGAAGCTCTCTACATGTGTGTCATTTGTCACATCCATTTAGTTATTTTGTGTTGAAGTTGAACACGTTTCAAGCACTGGACTTGGGATTGGGGGCCTGAGAACAAAACTTCATGGAAGTAGTAGACTCTGCAGTAGACATTAGAAACATCAATTTGATTTTTTGTATGGAAACTATGTGGGCCACCATGCAACGTAGCGTCTGAGACTTTATTAAGTTCTGAAGTTCTCAAGCAAGCAAACGAATATTTTCCACAACGGGACCGCTCAGGTTCCTTTGAACATTTCCGAGATTCCATGGTTGCTACGGAGGTCGGCAAGTGCTGGTCAAGAGATCGCACTTGTTCTCACCGCTGTCGATGGGAAGGTTTTTGAAACACAGCGGAAGATGCGGGTCCAGAAGGAGAAACGAAAAGGGCAAAAGAACCCGCAGCAGGTTCTGAGTGAGAACTTGGTTGCCAAAAAAGCGAAGGAGGAGAAAGCTGCCATTGCCGCTGCCAAAGCTAAGGCTAAGGGCAAGTGCAAACCCAAGGCAGCTGCAGCCAAAAACAATCTGAATGAGGAGCTAGCCGATGACACCACGAAGGAATCTCAATCTGTCACCTTGACTGATACAGGTGGAATTGCTGTGTCACGCCCGAAGCTGTTTGCAGACTGCTTAGTGCTGTGCATCAGATCTGCGATCACGGCAGCCAGGACAAAGTACGGACTTGCCCAAGGTGTGGAAGAGGAATCATTGGTTCCCGATTCAGCCGCGGATCCAATCAAGTACACTGATGCGGAGATCAATATCATCAGACCTGCTGTTCGAGCTGGCTTGATCTTCGCAATCCAGGGTTCTCACATGTTCAACGGCAAAGTATACAAGAAGTGGTCTGCCTTGCGGCCAGCCCTGCAGTGTCATCTCATGGAAGCCTACAAGAAGGCCAGCTGATCAATTGTAAGAGGTATAGTCAACTGCGTCACTATATAGGTAATGAAATCACATGTCGGTCTAGTCTAGTATTTGTTCTGGTTGAGAGCTGACGGTTGTATTTCTGACTATGGACAGGCGACACAGTCACCAGTGACAAGCTAAGATTAAAAAAAAGATTGCGTATAGCTTTTAAACGATTGCAGGTGGTCGATGCCAGCAAGATCTTTGTGGTGTCTGCGGGTATGCCAGGAGGTTCAGACACACAGACAGCAAGTGGATTGTGTGACGCATTGCTCAATGCGGCACCCTCATCCTCATCTGCTAAGCAGCAATCCGCCGACGCTCCATGGGAGGTTTTGATCGATGCCTTCATGAAATGGCGAGCCTCAGAAGCAGCTGCTATGAAATGTGACAACCCTTTGGATCCTACGAAACCCTTGGACGTGCATGGCCATCTCGCTTTCAATATCATCAAGAATTCTTGGACAACTGCATTTTGCAGCTGTGGAGAAAGGAGGACATATTGACTGACTAATTGGAGTCAATTGAATTAATTAGTTCTATTGCTAGTTGCCAGTTGCCAATATGGTCAGTGGAAAATGCCTAGGGCCCTAGGGCACCATTCCCTTAGGGCAGGCTAGGACTAGTGCACACGTGCTCTTTGTATTCATTACCATGGTGCGTCGCAGGACCAATGAATCAACATGTGTCGTTCATCAGGGCACTGATGTGGATGTAAACGAGGTTGTCTTCCAGTTGAGCCAGATGGTAGTCTCGGAGCTCAACCCCATGTTGATTTCGTTTGCATTCAAGCTCTCCAAGTACCATGCTGATCATAAAGGTGGGCTGCCTGAAGAGATCACATCGCATGAGAACAGCAGCGTCTTGACTCAACTCCTTCAGCCGGAAACTATTACCAGGTTGCAACATCTCAGGGCTGAATACATGATGGAGCTGTTGATTGCTCAGCTTGCGAACCGGCACATGTATTTGCCGATTGATCTTTGCAACCGCATCAAGAAACACAAGGACCTTTTCTATGACATTGATTTCGTTTGTGGATCATGTGATGCAGGGGTCGTTGCTTCTGTCTATGGTGCGGCAGTTCAGGCCCTGATCAAACAGGGGTCCTTCAAAATTTCCGATGTGACTGATTCGGTTGCCGTCGGAGACAAGGGAAATAAGAACAACTCCAAGGAATCTGTCAGCGCCGCCGACCCAAGCACTTCTCTTGAGACTGGCACATTGACATCCCAGAAGCGGCTTAGTGAATATGGGATTCGCATGGATTTCCAGCAGGATGATGATGCTTCCACATCATTGAAGTCATGTGAGGCATTGCTTGCTTTGAGGGCAACCATCACCGCCAACATGACGATGACTTGCAGGAATCTATGTTGTCATGTTGTCACGCTGTCACGTTGTACTATTTATGTGTTCTATTTTGTCATATGTCCTGTGTGTGTTGTTCTTTTGAATTATACTTGAATTATTTCTCACACATATGTCACGAGAACATTCACAACCCAATTCTGCACACAAGAATCATTTAATATTAGCTTTTGTGACACATCACAATACCACTGCGTCACTAGTTATCACGAGTTATCACGCATTGTTTTTGTTTGTTTTTAATGTCGTACGAATGTGCGCTTTGACCTACATTGTCCGCTGTGTAGGAATTTGGATTCCGCTTCCAGTGAGAAGTTGGTTTTCAACGTGAACCGACAAGAGAAGGGCAACAAGGTTGTAACGACGACAGAGGTGTTGCTCGAGCTGGACTCCAACGACTACATCATGAGTATCATTGATGCGATGCAGCCAGACGAACCAGTGAGAGAACTCTTGGCGAATGTTGTGAGTGAAGACTTCCTTGCCAACTTCAAGACTCACTTCTGGGGCGATGTTTGCATTTTGGTTGCAGTAAATACCAACACTGCTGTGCAATGCAGTCAATAGACAATTAAAGAAAACAAAGCCGTAGGGCCGTAGGGCCGTACTAGAACATGACATACTTGCACCTCAATGGAATTCACCGAGGTCACCGGTACAGTTACAACAGATTAACAACTTCCCATCGCAAGGTTTTGACTCTCATTTGAACAAGCCAAGGCACACATCCACCAAGCTTTGTGAACGCAAAGCTCCCAAAGATCATCTACAGCCTTGGCATGCGAGTTGTCAACGGAAATGACACTGACGTAGGCAGGACATTGAAACAAAAACAACAGTTCAACAATTCAACAATGTTGGTTTGAAATCTTTGTTCAATGACACTATGAGATTTATAATTATGTTTCTTTTGAACCACGGTACCACGGTCACCATGGTGTGTTCTTCTCCGGCTAGCCTTCAAACCTGAATCAACACAACAAGATTGGTTCAACATAGTTCAGCATATGGCATATAGTTCTGTAAGTAAGTTATGTAATAATAAATATATATGTATTGTTTATATTTTTCGATCACGTGAGGCGGTCAGGCGAGGCTAGCGGCTGTGAATATGTCTTTGGGATCTGTGGCATGTGGTGACCTTTTGGACTTTACCTCTCATAACACCGGCTCCTAGTCCAAATTGCGACAGGAGTACCTTTGCAATTGGAAGATCACCCGGTGCGCATTGCTTTTTGGCTTTCTGGGCAACAATACCATTCAGCCGATGGAGAAATCGTTTGCCCTGCTTGGATGGTGCCCCCAACTGATGTCGAGCAACCAACATTGATTGTGGGGCAGGACGAGCCTTCCAAATTCACCGCGTTTGAGTTTGGAGGGTACAAGATGTTCTATCAGAAGACCTTTTTGAAGTTCAATGATGATCCAAACACACCCGTGGTAGTCAAGAAGCTTGCCAACAAGCTCTATGCAATCCTGGTTCGTGAGCATTTGCTACTTGAATCAAGGGCGGGTTCGGTCTTGAAGGGGTCAAGAAGGTTTTGAACATAAGACAAAGTCAACTCCTGACAATTCCCTTATCGAATCACTGACACTGGGTTTGGAAGGAAGGACAATACACATAGACACATAGCAGTACACATAGTATATGGTGAGTCTTGGTCTAAGGAGTCCAAGCTGTACCTCAATGATCAATGGTCCAGGTTCTTTGCCTCCAACTCCAATGATCCTGGCCTGATGCCTGATCCCCTGTCTCGGACCCTCTCGGCATCCCTTTCGTTTTGATTCTGGCATTCAGGCCCTATGAAGATTGCAAATCTTCCAAGCGACAGGCCAAGCGCTCGTATGATGCTGCAGCATTGGGTGGAATGGACAGAGTGGTTCTTGGAGGGGCCGCATTGAAGACCCCGAATTCGACAGGAGGATCGTCTGATGCTGCTGCTGCTAAGCGTATTCGTGTGAACAAGAAGCGAAACACTTGGTTATGTAGTAGATCTCTAGACCAACCACATCATCACATGACCTGCGCTGTGGACTTTGGCAGTGATGACAAGTTTATCACAAATGATCTTTAGATTCTTTATTCTTGTGTTGAAGGATGGTCAATGGATATTGTGAATATTGGATATTATGATATTATGGAATTATGAACCAGTTTGGGCTGTGTGAAATGTTGTTCTTCATACGTTTGAGCAATCTGATCGGCTGGTCGGCTGGTCGGACACGCCATCGTTCATCCAAGCGCCCAAGCATGTGTGTTTTGCTTTGCTGCTTCACCACTTGGACTTGTTGGCATTCACAATACTTTACAAAATAAACACTGTTGTTTTCCGTCTCCTGGGTGAAAGCAGCATTGACAAGATTGAACCGGTTGAACTTGTTCAAGAACACACAACATTTTCTTAGGTCCTAGCTGCTGTCCTGGCTGAGTCTGTATTTGCTGTATCCACATATGTTAGTTGTTTGTATAACTGTTTACTTGATGCAGAACACACATCGTGAATGTAGCACGACGATTAGATACGAGTTGTCTCGAATTTCCTTCAGCGTGAGTTCAACTGAAAGGCCAACACATAACCCCAGGCAGAGAAGAGAAATGTATGTGTTCATAACTTTGAATATATACAGGTTTCTTTTTCAGCCTTTCAGGACCTTTTCAAAGAACTTTGAAATGAAAAAGGCCTTTTCAAAGAACTCATGCTGCAATCATATGCTGAAAGACCCAAGCCAACCGCACAGAAAGGAGGCAAAACGTTCAGAAGCGGCCAGAAGCTTTATGTTTTCTGGTGACAGTCAGTGACAGTTTGAAATACACAGATTTGCAAGTCTAAGACCAGCTGTCTAAGACATGTTTTCCAAATTTGTTGACTCAATCCCTGGCTGCAGGTGGCTTCTACTGCTGCAGATCGGGTTCGCTCGAGTTCGCTCAAGGGAAAAAGAGCCAGCAGAGAGTGATTCTGTAATGGTTTGTTTAGGTTAGCATAGGCTCACGCTTCATTCACTGGTACATGTAACCCATGGAGAATCCAATCATACCATGTACTGGATGGAATGTGTAGGGGCGGCCACTTTGGAGCCGCCCTTACTAAACTGGAACATGACTGGAGAGGGCTGTGGACATGCCTACCTATGACTCCAAGGGTGACACACACACACGCCTCCCCGAGGGGAGGCGAGAAGCTAAGGTGAGGGCCGATGTGCACGTGTGCGCGCACAAGAGACAAGAAAATGAAGACATGACAAGAGGACGAGACGGGACAAAGGTGCGGGTGGTTGAAATGAAAGGGGAACCAAGTGCACAGGGACAACCGATGAAGCCCACCTCATTGTAAAGCCCTGGGCGACCTGAAACCTGTGTTAAAAGGTGTGTAGAAGTGCACGTACACACAAAGGCCGGGACCAATGTGCGCGCAAACGAAGAAAAGGATGAGATGACCAGACATGAAGACAGGAGGACATGAAAGAAAAGAGGAAACAAGAGTGTGTGAAGGGAAAGGGATGAAAGGGGAACCAAATGGAGGGGACGAGAACCGATGAAGCCGAGCCTCATTAAAACGACCTAGGAAAACCTGCCTCGTTTGAATGTATACGCTGTATGTGCACCCAAGGTCTCGACAGGTTCCAAT